TTTTAAAAAAAAAAAAAAAAAAAAAAAAAAAAAAAAAAAAAAAAAAAAAAAAAAAAAAAGAAATAGAGCAAACTAATTTCTACTTTTCAATAAAAGCACTTTATTAAATGCTAAATGTGTGTTTATTTTTGATATCATATAATACTGTTTAAAAATAAGAAAAAAATCATTTTTTTAGACCAAATTTCCTGATTTTTGATTTGGAAACTATGGTCACCATACTGTAACTGAAAGTTATTTTGAGAGAAAATAAAGACAATAACAAACAGTTTTAATAAACTGCATAAGTATAATGAAATTAAGGCAGTTAATTTAGAGGTAATTTAGAAAGAATGGCATCAATGATTGACATATTTCATGAGTGGCAGAGTACATGAAAGCAGAATGAGAAAGTGAGTACCAAGTGCTATTAATGTATATTAAATGTCAAGTGACAATATATAAGTAGAGCCACTTTAGAATTAATTTTTAATAGTCTGAGTCTCTGGATCAGAAAACAATTACACTTTGAGGGAAAAAGTAAAAGAAAAACTTCCTTTTCACAAACTTTCCACCTATTTTCATAGATCTATCTAGAAGTTCGTAAGAACACTAAAGCTTCTAATAATATCTTTAAAAAGCAACCAAAAGAATAAAGTATATTTTAAAATTGAAAGATAACATCTTTAGGGTTGTTTTCTTAAAACTGAAGGCAAAACAAGAGGATAAAATAGGAATGGTAGAGTAGAAAAATAAAAATATGATTAATAAATCTTCAAGGAATTAAGGGTTATCTTTACCAATGGAAAAGCTCAAATTATGTCTGGACCCCTCTTAGCTTGTGTAACAGCAGAGAGGAGAGTTGAGACTGAGTAAAATAGTGACTACTGGTGGAAAAGGGAGAGGGAAAGAGAGTTTAATGCCAGGACTTCTGTTGTTTCTCAAAAAACTTCCTTCAAAAGTTTTTGCTTTCTTATACTTTGCCTCCAAACCAAAGTAGCTATCCATTTTATCTGATGGAAATTCCTTACAATCTGCTAATTAATGCAGGGGAAACTTCAAGATAGAATGTTTTAATTTTCTCCCAAACCTACTTATTTCTACCTATTTCATAGAATTTTAGAACAGAATGACCTCAGATATTAGACAGTTTAAATTCTTCAATTTATATAGAAGAAACAGGCCCAGACAGGTCTTGCTTTCCTTATAAAATAAGACAGGTCTACTGACCCCCAGAGTTCAAAACTCATTCCTTGCTATCCCATGTATTTTACAATTAAGTGTTAGAAAAGTTTCTATTATTTTTCATTTCCAGTAAGACTAGCTTTTTAAAAAAGACTTCCCCAATTTTTCGTGGAATGATAGATTTTCTGATTTCTCCCTGTGCTGAAGAAAATTTTTACTTCTCTTGAATTTTATTCTGATTAGGTAACAATTTATAAAAATAAATTTTTTATGATTAGGCTTATTTGGTAGATTGGTATTACTAAGGCATTTAATGATATATCATTAAGTTGAAAATGTATATTGAAGGTGTTTGAAATGCCAATTTCTAAGAGGCTTATTGGTTGCTGAAGTGCCAGATGGCATATACATTAAAATGAGAGAAAGTTCCAAGATAGGCTTAATTAATCTAACACACCTGAAACTTATTTTATTAATTACAAACTTTACTTTAGTTATAAAATGTGCAACACTCCCTCTTGTGGAAGTACTAAACTACTATATCCACTATATAAACATACTATCATCCATGATGTCTGGAGAATTAAGAAGGAACAAAAAGAGTTATCAGTATCAAATATCTGTGAATGCTCTGATTTCTCAGAAAACACACATTGCATCTTCATACTATATCAGAATATTTTAGTGGGAAACTAAACTGCAAACATGTTTTACATGTATATTTATAAGCATTTGGGGAAAAAATCCATAACAATGCCCTGTTTTGGCCTTTGATCTGGAGAAAGAATTAACTCAAGCTATCCATGCCCAGTCTTTAATTTCTTCTGTCTATAAATCCTGATAATTAAAATAAAAAAGGAAAAGCAAACAGCCTAAAAAAAAATTCTAAGGATATTAACATAAGAATTTTATTTTCTAAAATGTGTACTTATAATGAAAACCAATTGCTTTATTTTGATAATTCAGGGTCCTCAACATTAAATATATCTTAAAATAAATCTGGATATTTCAATTACAGCTTGATATTGAAGAATCACTGAAGGAATTTATAGGGGAAAAAAAAAAAATTAGTTAAACTCCCAGATGCAAATGATATCAGTGAAGCATAAAAGAATGCTTACCCTTAATGTTGCTAAATCAAAGACTGCCAATCTTCTATTTTTATCATATACATTTCTTTAAAAACCTTTTAAAGACATGGTCTAAAATATGGAATTTGAAACATTACAGAATTATTTTTACGTATGCTAATTTGGACAATATCACAGGTGCTATGTTCAGATATTTCTAAGACCAAGTTTACACTATGCATAGTAATACTGACCAGTATGATTTCACACTCTTTTAAATCATATTTCCAAAGCTAAGATTTTTATTTTCTTTTTGCATTCAAGTTATCTTAAATAGAAATATCCTATCAAAGACAGCTCAATTATCAAAATCAAACAGGTATGCTTTTTGTTTTTTTTTACTACCTATTCCATGAAACCATTTAGTATGCTCCTATTGACTGAAAGATCCTGACAACTGTCCTTTAAGACATAATACTATAAAATGGCATCTTGAGAGAATCTGAATATATAATCTTGGATCACAATGTGGCTTTAGGCCCATAAAGGTGGAATACAGAACACGAAGAACCGGGTAAAACATCAGAAATGAAAAGATTTCAGTGAACAATACCAAAACCTTTATATTGTATATCGACCTTCTGTATAGTCTTAATAATAATCCAACTGATTCCACGAGGGTACTTCAAAAGGTTCGTGGAAAAACAGAATTGAAAGATAATATAAATTTTTCCATGAACTTTTTGAAGTACCCTCATGGCTGTCTTCTGGAAGCTTGCGTACAAGTAGGCACTCATACTATTTCTTAGAGCTAGAACAAATATGGTAGAAAAGCAACAGGCTGGGAACTAAAAGCCTTGGATTCTCGTCCTGCCCCTACCATAGCCACGTGACCAGGGCAGGTTATTTCATCTCTTGGCTTCAGTTCTCTAAAGTGAATAACACTTCTAGCTCTTAAAATTCCATGACTCTAATTATTTAACATATTGCTACTACCTATAAAGAAGGCCAAAATTATGTACTCAGTTTGCCCCAGGGAATTTCAATAAGCAGTTCAAGGTTCTTTCTGACATGGAAAAATGAATGTTTATCAATTTCTGTATTCAAATAAGTAGAAAATGAAATTTATCTTCAGAGATATATATGTATATAATACAGTCTCTTATAGTAATTTCTTAGACTTGCTGAAGTAATCATATCTGGCTTGCATCTCAAATAAGCCCTCATACTAAACAATGAGAAACAAAACCAGATCACTTGTGTTAAGAGCTAGTCAACCAGTCCAGAAGGGAGAGCTGTTCCATGCTGCTTGGTAACGTACAACTTATATTACAGCTTGTATTAAGACAGAAGAATAAGTAAATATTTAATACAGGTAAATATAGGTAAATATTTAATGGAGATGAGGTGATAAAACAAGCAGTGTGGCAGAAGAAACTTTATCAGGGTATGCACCATAGAATGCAGCACAAAGGAAGTGTGAATTGAAGAGGCACAGCCATAAGGAACAACAAAACAACAACACTGGGTAAACATAAACCAAAAGATAGTAGTTAGTTTTAAAATACTTGGCAATACATTCATGACCAACCAACCAAAGCTCAACACAAGGACTAGGGTAATAAGGAAAATGCCACCTCTTCTTTTTGAAACCATGATTATAAGTTATCTAGCTTCAGCCTACATTCATTCCTACCACAAACTATGACTCTCATTACCAAACCCAGTGACCAGCAAGAGATGGAAAGGTGAACGGAATAAAGTGGCAGCAAAAAGAGGAGCAACAAAAAGTGAAAAGAACAACATATACAAAGTACCATTAGTTTTAGGTCTTATAGGATATACTGTGCAAGACGTAAACCAACCAAAAATAAAAAGATAAGATTTCATACTAACTTCTCCTCCACTCTTAACTCAAGACTTAGGACTCAGATAATTGTTGACTGACAGTAATCATAAATCTTCAAGTCTTGTAACAGCTGGTCTCCCTCACTGGCCTTTTCAGCCACACCCATTCAGAAGGCTGATTATGAAGTAAGGAGACAATGCTTACAGGATTCACACAAATATCCACCCCATTGTTCTTTGGTCATATATATAGTCTCAATGGCTTCAGCTATGAGTGTGAAGTACCTAAACAGACAAATACAAATTATTTTAGCTGCCAAAAGCAGCTAAATTCTGGTGGGGAGTAAGTGGCTTTTGTAGATAGATATTACATTCAATTACTGCTCATGACTACAATTAAATGGCATAACAGCACTTTGTGAGATAATGCTCACAACCAATTAAATTTCTACAGTCCAGTTTAACCCACATGTGCTTAGTGACTGCCCCTTGAATCCATCTTCTTCCACTGAAATAAATTAAGGGTTAGTTTTCACCTGCTCCAATCATAAACAGATTTAACTTTAAAAAGTATAAGTATATGAGATGTTTCAAAATATGTGGGAAAAAAAAGGAATAAAATATTGATTATTTCATTTAGCTCTGAAAGGAGTAATAAAGGGTATACTGCTTTTCTTTTGGTTCAGAAAAGCTTTGAATTACATGGGAATATTTAAAGGTTAAACACATGCTTTCAGAAGCACAATGATAATTCCTATTATTTAAACTAGATAATAATTCCTAATCTAATTTCTGACACACAAATCCAGATACATCAACAACCAACCAGACAATTAAAACTCTAAATCAGTACAATAAATTTCTAATTTCGAAATCACTATTTTGGGGCCGGCCCTGTGGCTCACTCGGGAGAGTGCAGTGCTGATAACACCAAGGCCACGGGTTCGGATCCCACATAGGGATGGCCGGTTGGCTCACTGGGTGAGCGTGGTGCTGACAACACCAAGTCAAGGGTTAAGATCCCCTTACCGGTCATCTTTTAAAAAAATTTTAAAAAAGAAATCACTATTTTGCCCCAGGACTCTAATTGGAAGTGTGTATAACAAATTTTCCATTTAATATACTAAATAAAATTATTTCTATAGAAAAACCCTCTGTATCATAAATTTTCCGTTAAATATTTTGGGAACACAACTAGAAATATATATTTTTTTTAATAAAGAAGTCCTAAAACATACAACATGCTGATGTTATTAAAAATCTGGATCCAATTTACCTGAAGGAGAGCAATGAGTTGAGGTCATACCTTTGACCTTGGAGTCTGATAGTCGAGAGATACTGTTAGCTCTAATTCTAGGAGAAAATTTATCTGATGGTACTAGTCTTGCTCCACTTCTAATGATGGCTTCTGCAGTACGTGAAGAGGCACTACTTCTAGATATTGTTGCTTCAGAGTCACTACGAGCTGACAATGAGCCAAGCCTTGTCCTACGAGGCTGAGCCAATAAATCAATTCTAGAGATGTTACGCCTTCCTGTGGGAGGTTTTGATGTGGAACTTGTTGTGGATACTTCGGAAGCAACAGACGCTTTGTCAGCATCAGCAAGTTCACTGTCTGAAGCTTCACCAAGTCGCGCTCTGCGCAAGAGGGAAGTCCTGGTAGGTCGTGGCCTTGGAAGAGTGGTTGATTTACTGGACGAACCAGATGCTATTAGAGAAGTCTTAGATTTAGTTACTTTACTTCCTTCCAGTTTGGAATGTACATGCTCATCAGTTGAGGTAAGTGGAGTCCTTCCATGAGATTTACAAGAGTAAGTTTCCTGATCAGACGACATAACATCAGAGATGGCAGAATGAGGTACACTAGAGGTTTGGTCATCATCTGTTAAATCTACTGAAGGCTGTCTTATTCTTCCACTGGACTGTACAAATTTACGACCATCTGCTCTTGAACCTGCATCTGTGGAACGACTTTTTGTTTTCTTCTCAATTTTCTCCCTAGCACCGGAAGAAGATGATTTTGTAACATCTTTGGAAGGAGACCCTGTGGAACACCTATCTTTATAGAGGCTAGTGAAACTCTTTCGCTTTTGGGTTGACTTTCTTTCAGTCTCTCCAGTAACTAGACTGATTGTACTAGCTGTGTCCACATCAGATTCTGGTGAAATAGAATTGTCTCTATTATAACTGGGAGTATCTGGACCTTCATCAGTTTTATTATCTTCACGCAGTTTAGCTTCTAGAAAAGCCATTACTGCTTCAGTGTCTTTTAGAATAAGGGTTGTGTCCATACTAGAATCAGTATCCAAAGAGTCACTTCTTTCTCTTATTCTACTAGCAGATGTTAACACTAAAGAAGGGGGAGTAGATGAAGTCTGTTTATTTATATGGGGAATAAGTTCTATGGGTATGTTTGGGCTAGGTTTTTCTATAGTGAAGCTCCCCTGTCGCACTAATGACTTGGAGGGTTCCTTCTTGTCTACTCCCCTTGAAGTCTGACTTTTCAGAATTTCCTCAGCTTTTCTTCTCTTGCTTTCGTTTTGTATCACCCTTTCTCCTTTGTTTGTAGAATGTCCTGGGATTTTTTCTTGAGGCTGTGATTCTTGTTTAAAGGATTCCTCCCTACATTTATCTCCCTGACCTGAAACAGTTTTTGAAGACAATTTAGTAGATGTCCATTGTGCCTGCTCCTTTTGCTCTTGCTGCTGGTGAATTTTAGCTAATGTTTGCTTTACCAGCGAAGTTTCCTTATCAGCTTCATTTTTCTCCTTTCCAGGAGAAGGGCTGCCCAAGTGAAGCAGGGTTTTATTATCTCCACCAGTTTTAACAGTCTCACCATTTACTGCCCTGTTCATTTTATTAAGGGCTCTGTCAGCATCTTGTTTATCTTTCTGGTATACCTGTGTAGGTGTTTCTTTTTCCTGAAGTTCTGTATCCTGTTTTTCTCCTATCTCTGACCTCTGTGTTATAACCTTTGCTCTGGAGCTCTCAAGAGACTTTTCTTCGTTTGGAAGCTGGGGAAGGGTTCGTCTCCTTCTCTCTCCTTGACTACCCAAGGAAGTTGCAGAGCTAGTACTTCTCCCTGAAATACCAGGTTCACCGATGTTTGCATCTGTAAAATAAAAACCACAAAGAAGGAATTAATTTGGGCAAAAAAAATCAAAAGGAACATCATATTACATTAGACTTTGAAGTATAAGTTAAAACAATGAATTAAGTATAAAATAAATGAGCCAGCATTATGACTAAGTAGTTTAAAAAGCGAATATAGGCCGGCCCGGTGGCGCACTGCTACAGTGCGCCGCTTGGGGGCGTGGTGGCGCTCCCGCCGAGGGTTCGGATCCCACATACAGACCGGCCGCTCACTGGCTGAGTGAGGTGCGGGCACAACACCGAGGGTTGCGATCCCGTGGCCGGTCCCGGTCCAGTACGGGCGCGACACTGAGGGTTGCGATCCGTTGCTGGTCACGAAAAAAAAAAAAAAAGACAAAAAGGAAAAAGCGAATATAATTTTAGGCTACACAAATAGGCAGATTATTAACTGAAGAGTCAGGAAAGCAAATTGTATGAGATGGAAATTAGAGTCATCTGATTTTTTTTTCCTTTCATAATTTTATTTTTAATGGACCAAAATTGTATATATTTATGGTGTACAATATGATGTTCTGATATATGTATATATTGTGGAACGGCTAAATCAAGCTAATTAACATATCCATTACTTTACCTACTTGTTTTTGTAGTGACAATATTTAATATCTGCTCTCTTAGCAATATGCAAGTATGCAATACATTATTTTCTCTTTTTAATTATCTATGGACACAACGGTGTACGAGGGTCATATGATCTTAAACGTACATGTGTTGGTCTCTTTTTCTTTTAATTATTTTTACAGCAGGGAAGTTCACTGTGTTTATTCTTGCTTTTGTGACTTTCCATCCTTGAGATTTGCTTAAGAAAACAGAATCTAACTAGTACATGACAGATCTGCACAGAGAATGCCTAATAAACATTATTTGCTATAATTCCAATTACATAGTAGAGAAAAATAACAAACTTAATTGTTAAGTATTATTATCTACTTGAAAGAATGACAGTGTTTGGATTTACTAGGTAAAATGGAAAATGCATAAGTTTAAAAGGGGAATCCAAAGTTCATTTAAAAAATTTAAAAAATTGTAAGTATGAAAAAAGGTAACAGGACATGTCATAATCTTACAAACTGAGGAATTTTTAAATTATATTCTTCTGGTATATTAAAGCCAAAGGCAGAAATACACAATCACTTTCTTTTTTCAAATAAATAGAAGCCAGTGAGATAATATATACTTTGATGTTTCCACGTGGGAAAACTTGAGAATACTTAAGGAGAATTCTCCTGTTAAAAATGGGATACATTTCTGTGAAAAGGGATACATCTCTTCAAGGTAATATAAATTAACATATAAAGCATTCTGATCTCTTAGGGATAAATGGGGAAAAGATAATAGATACATCTTCAATGGTTTTTTCCCCCATTTATAATCCTAAAAGTTTAGCATTTAAATTTCATAGCAATAAAATGGCTACAATGCAGGAAAATATTTACCAAACTGATTGATTTAATTTAGCAATTAATCATGTTATATCTTATTTTGCTTATTCTTGAATGTGTATATGTTTTATCTCCTCAGTGCTAATTAAAGCACCTAAAATGCAGTGGCTATTATGTCTTTTTACATTTTTCTAGTATTTTTCATACTGTCCTGTTCCTAACACACACTCAATGTATGTTTTTTGTTTGTTTGTTTGTGGCGCACTGTAGCAGTGCACCACCAGGCCGGCCCCACTCAATGTATGTTTAACAAGAACATTTTAGGATGTAGATGGATTTATCTACTTATCTAAATAAATTCATTTATAATATGATGAAAGAAGAAATGAGATCATTAAAGCTAAATGGCCTAATATAGTTATAACAAGGGTAGAATTTTGCTTTTCATAGCTAATATTTAGTAATTTTACAATGAGTTCTTTGGTAAAGTTATCTAGCCCTTCTGCCTGGTTTCTCTGTTGCCTAAACACTGACCAGTTTATGTGAACCAATCTACAAATGACTCTGTTCCCTCCAAAGATTTCTGGTAATACTATCAATTACTTCTACTTTCTATAATAAATAAATGACATGGCTTTTCTAGTACAACTGCTATGCAGCTTGTTCAAATACTTGCTGACTAATATCTACAAAATTCTAAAAACATTTTTGGGGTACCACAAAGCAGAGACAAATTTCCATTTCAATTTTCAACAAGAACAAAATTAAAAATACAGAAAAAAAGACACATGTGATTCTCCTTGAGGGTCTTATTTTCTTGTGTTTTAATTTTTTTCACCATAAATGAATTTTTATGTTTTTCAGCTTGGATAAGTTTTTATTATTTTTTTAAATTTTAAATTGACAATTTATAATTGTATATATTGGGCCAGCCTGGTGGCGCACTGCTACAGTGCGCCGCTTGAGAGCGCGGCGGCGCTCCCGCCGAGGGTTCGGATCCCACATACAGACCGGCCGCTCACTGGCTGAGTGAGGAGCGGGGGCAACACTGAGGGTTGCGATCCCGTTGCCGGTCCCGGTCCGGTACAGGCGCGACACTGAGGGTTGCGATCCGTTGCCGGTCACGAAAAAAGACAAAAAGACAAAAAATATATATATATATAATTGTATATATTTATGGGGTACAAAGTGATATTATGATTTATGATTACAATGTGGAATAATTAAATCAAGCTAGTTAATATATCCATCACCTCAAATACTTAACATTTTTTGTGGTGAGAACATTTAAAATTTACTCTTTGCAATTTTGAAATGTGTAATACTCTATTATTAACTATATTTACCACGCTGTGCAATAGCTCTCAGAAAAGAACACATTCCTTGTAACAGATTTCGTACCCTTGTACCATCATCTCCCCATCCTCTTTTTATTTTTAATTAAGAATAAAATTAACTGAATCTAACAATAAAAATCATCACAGGCATTCAGTTTTGTTTGGTTTATTTAAAAAGAAATTTTATAGTTTAGTTTGCAGAAATATAATTAAAAGGTAATAAAAACCAAACTATGCAGATTTGTAAGATATATTAAGTAACTTCTTTTTCACTGAATGTATGGCATAAAGTAGGCACACAATAAATATTTGCTCTGTTTATAAATGGAATAGTTTGGACCTGTCTTAGTCTTATTTTTAAATTTTCATTTATAATATATATAAATACATACACATATATGTGCTTCATCTACAAATTAGCTCCTTATCTTCTGTTAGAATTATACTCTAATGAAAATAAAATCATATTATCCTAAGATACCAGTATATCAAAAAGAGTAGGAAGAATTTTAAAAGTAAAAACACAAATTTTTAAAACATTTCTTGAAATGAACAGCAGAAATTTCTACTAAAAGGAAAAGTACCTCAGAACGAATTATTAAATTCTGGCAGGTGTCCATCTGTCCTTAGGAAGTTTCAACTTATGCAGAACACACATTTTTCAAAGAAAGAGTTTTATTACTTGAAATTTTTCCCCTGCTTAAAATCACTCAAAATACAAAATGTCTAATAAAAATCAGCTTTTTAATTGTAAAAAAATATATATGTAGGACAAAAAAACATACATGTAGTACAGGCATGAGAATATGTTAATATGCTTATTTAGGTTTAATTTACCTCTTACTATATCGAAATCTTTAGCTTGCTTTTTCAATACTGATATATGAGTCACAAAAAAAAAGAGAAAATGAAATAAAAGGAAGAAAAAGAAAGAAAAAAGATACCATTCTCTAAAGGAACAGGTACCGACAATTCCACTTTCCTTTCTTCATGATCATGCTTTGTATGATTAGCAGCCAAACTAGCCCATTGTGAAACCCAACGTTTGGTTCCAGATGAAGATGTGCCTTCCTAAGGGAGAAAAACAAGAGAGTGAAATAATGTAGTCTGGTTAAATCTGATTCTCACGAAAGAGAATTTCATTTAGTCACGTTAACCTGTCATACAAAGCCATAATTAAACCTCATCATGTCATAAACTTCCTCATATATAAAACGAAGATTCTCCAGATATCCCTTTTAACTACAACATTTTATTACTACTGTGAATGTAGCATACTTTTCTGTTGCTTAAATAATATAAATAGTACTAAAATAAACTCTTGGAGCTTAAAATTTACTGGGCTGCTAGGTAAGTTCAGGTGTATATCATAGCTTTGTGGCTAGACCAGCAGTTAATTCTACTCCATTCTAAGGAACAGGGAACCTAAAGGTCTACTCCCAAATTTTTCTCTAGCCCTCTAAATGCCTGTAGGAAGTCGGATTGGTTCCGAGGTCTCAGGAAGTATTAAATCTGCTAGGGCATGTCTTCAGGGATTTCAAAAATGCAAAGCTTTAGATTTCTCTCTATAATACTTCAACATTTCCAGAAGGAGCCAGAAATCACTCAGTCTTTAAAGATTTTCCTGAACCCTGACCTGCTTATGTCTAGATCTGTTCTTAAGGCAGGTACTTTTTGAACCCTTATAGTCAAGTGTAAAATGGAATTTAACTCATGACATGCTCCCACAGGCTTACGGACATATACTGGTAATTCTTAAAACCAAAACAATCTAGGCATTGAATACAGAAGATCTAGGGGGTACAGAAAAAACTTATGTCACTAAAAATCAAAGGAAGGGCTTTTTATTGAAACTGGAATGGCAATTAGGGAATGGATAGGTATGAAAGAAATTTTATTTTGAACTATTCAAAACAAATATTTTTTTAAAGTTGCCAGATTTACTTTATTGATGTCAGGCTAGACACTGATGAAGAGTTCATGCAGATTATACTCTACATGTTTTCAAGAATAGTAAGGTAAAATAGTAAGTACAGAGAATGAACATGCACAACAGTGAAGCCTAAGGATACCAAAGCCTGCTGAATCCTTGAATTCCCTTCCAAGGTTTTGTGGTATCTACCCACATCTCTGAGTACTGAAGGCACAGCCAGAGCCATTCATGCCATGCTAAGAACACCCACAACAGGGTGGCTTTCACTAACACACATTTATGTAATACTATTATGTGAAGCGTGTTCTAATGCCCTGTAACCTAACTCCAACAAAGGCAGGAACATACCGGGGCTATATAAATTTTATTTGGCATGAGTTGAGGGGATAGAGAAGAGAAGAAGGAGTCTATTTAAATTCACATTCACCAAAACCCTTCCTGGATTAATCAAAATACCAAGATATTGCCTCATAACTATCATCTGCTTTCAGTAAGTAAATTAAACATGCTGCAAAACAGAAACCAGAATAAAAATTCTCAAATCATGGGAGAAAAAAGAAAGAACACTAAAATACAGTAATTGCCTTGACAGTTTTCAGGAAATGGCAGAGCATAAAGGGACAATTTTAGCATTAATAAACAAACATACAGTCTATCTACCTGTCTATAAAAATACTTTTCATTTTATACAAATGTGACATTTTATTTATATTTTATTTATACCATAGAATTTTCTTTTATTTATACTTCAGATTTATTTACCATTTGCATATTATAAATGGGCTCATTTCCTGAGAGACAGTTTGGTATAAAGAGTAAAAGAATGATTTGAGAAATAAAGGCTGTTTAGGTTTCAAATTCTGGCTCCATATGCTAGTAGTTGTAAGACCCTGGCCAACCTAATTTCTATGTGCATCAGTTTCCTTATCTATAAAATGGCATAAAGAAAGCTTCCACTGAATATTAGCTTTTATTATCTGAATAAATAATAATTAATTCTCTGGCTTACCCACACTTTTTACACTTTTTGACACATAAGTATGTAATGAAATTCTAATATCATTCCCAGTAAGGCATAAGTGCATAAACTGCAGGCAGGTACTTTGGTGGGTGCTTTATATACTTCATTAAATTCACTGTGAATAGGTTTTAACAAAAATACCACAAGAGAAAACTAAAGATATGTGACTAGTCAAAGGCACTCAGCTTGAAGTGGCAGTTCTGGGATTTGCAGTAAGATCTTTGTAGTTCTACTACACCACACTGACTCCATCCTATCTACCAAGCTACCCTTAATTAATTTCACATTATTTTAACTGTATCTTGGGCTGAACTGCACTGGCACTTACTGAGGAAAATAAGTTGCATTTATAATGCAGTACTTTGCACATGTTTCCTGGCATGATATACATACAAGTCTTCCAATTCCAAACACATACTTTCTAGAATGTATAAGTAGTGCACGTTTCTTGTTTTACCTCCGTGTCAGTTAGGACAACGAGCATATAGCTCATTATTTGCTTACTGCAATGTAATTTTTCCTCACTGACAATAGAATATTAATTTAAAAGAACATAAAAAACTGAATGACTGCAAAAGTGCTTTAGGCTTTTATTAGAAATAAAAAATGTTAAAATTTAGTTTTGTAGAAGTATTTTATAAGGGGATATATCAATTACTGAAAATAATATAATTTACAAATGATAAAAATTTACACTTTATACATATAAAAAGTTAAATACACACAAAAAATGTATACCTCTGAGCTGTGAAATCCAGGTGTACTCAGTGGTTTTCTTTCTTCCATTACTACTGCAGCAGAACTGACAGCCCAATCTTTTATTAGATCTTTATGTTTTTCATTGATAATAGGCCTATTATAATCCTGATTGTTATCTACTCCAAACACCTAGGAGGAACAATTATTTTATAAATGAAAATGAAAATCTGAGCACCAGATTAATATGTGGATATTATTAATAACTTCAGAGGCAAATAAAAATATTCTAAATTAATTTCAATAATGAGGAAAACTTGTTTAATGACAGGGTAACATCCAAATGCAGTGATAGCTGAAGAGATAAATGGGCAGCTGCAGCTTATGTAAATGTAACTATCCTTTTTTAATATTAAGCAAATGTCCTATTTGATACAAATAAATATTCAGTATATTATATTAAAAGATTTAATAATGCTGTTAAACATTACAAGAATGCAAAGAGGTAGAAAAGAGTACCTCTTCAGTTTGTTCTCAGCTTGTTCCTTTGCTCTATTATTTTTGAGAAGCATGTTGAAAAACTATAAACATACGGCTCATTTTATCCATTTCTTCCCTACATGTTTAACACTTACAAATATGAGTTAAATTTATATATATTTTCTAAGGTGCCAAATAATAGATTTTATTGTATGATCTTTGTATCGAGTATAGCATAATTCTCAAACTTTGTTTGCCTATCACTTAAAGACCTTTGTTTGAAGTGCAGATTCCTGGGCCTACTCACACAAGATCAGCTTTTTCAATAAGCAGGTTGTCAATGGTCAATACCTTTCTTGAAAAGTTCTAAATATAGAGACCAACAATCATGTGCTTTTTTTTATGGTCAGGACCTGAGTCTTACTCATTTCCTGGCACATTATATGCCCTGGCACATTATATAGACTGGAAAAAGTTTTACCATATTACACTTTAACGTTCTATTTCACTATTAAGTCTCTACTTTTGTTCCCAATGCTTATTCTTTATAGCTATTGGTTGTGGCTCTGATAACTAAAATCAAGAAAAATACTATGCACTTAAATTTGTAATTTGTATAAAGGATCTTTCAAACATAACCAAATAGAGCTTTCCTTTTCTTTAAGAAGGGAAAAATACCTTGGACTAAACTATTTTCTAGGAAAAATCTTAATGGTCATATAGTACACCTATCTGATAAATTCTGAAATTCACATTTAGTAAAGTAGATATCAGATTTTCAAATTTACTAAAACTTGGAAATTTTACCACTAGATGGCCTTATTACTTAATATTTAATTCAAATAAAACTATAGTTTTCAAGAATTATGATTTAATATTCTGTTGAACTAATCAATATTCAAATTAACTTTGCTTTAAGAGCAAACTGTATATTATTAACTTTAAGTCAAATACAAATTTTACTAATGCATGGAAGCACAGTGTACAGAAGGGAAAAAACAAAAACCGCTTCATTTTGCTAAACATTAGAATGATTTAAGTTTAACCATAATAATTGTAAAAACAAAACAAAACAAAACTGAGTATACCTGTGTCCATTGGCTTTAACACCATTTGTAAAGAAAGCAAATTAGCTTTTCAAGTTATTTCCTCGGCGGGAGCGCCGCTGCGCTCCCAAGCGGCGCACTGTAGCAGTGCGCCACCGGGCCGGCCCAAAAATTAAAAATATTTCTAACTCAAGTCATTGAACTCCAAATTTACTCTTATTTATTTTTTAATATGTTCATAATAAATAACATTAAAAGAAAAAAAGAAAAAACCTAACTCAGTTTGGAAGTAGAAAGTAAAAATAACCACTTGCATTTTTGCATCTCTTTGGCATGTTTATTTAGAAATTACCTTAAGTGATTTTCTGATCTGGTGATATTTAATTCTAATCCATACTCAAAACGTGAGGGCTGGCCCGGTGGCGCACTGCTACAGTGCGCTGCTTGGGAAGCGCGGCGGCGCTCCCGCCGAGGGTTCAGATCCCACATACAGACCGGCCGCTCACTGGCTGAGCGAGGAGTGGGGGCAACACCGAGGGTTGCGATCCCGTTGCCGGTCCCAGTCCGGTACGGGCGCGACACTGAGGGTTGCGATCCGTTGCCGGTCACGAAAAAAAGACAAAAAGACATTAAAAAAAATAAAAAAAAGTGATTTCCTCAAACATCTAAGCACAACCAGCTTCAAATAAAATACATTAAACTTTTTCAAATCTGAAAAAATTTTGAAATGATTACAAAAGATACATAAAGAACTAATGCTTTGAGGATGGTAAGCTGAACTTGGACAGAAAGTACTCAGATGACTTTCTACAGATTCCTTTAAAGCAGGAGATGTACCAATTATTCCTTTTCCAAACAAGTGGCAGGACCTGCAGTACTACTATAGGGACAGAAGCCTTCATATTTCATAGCTATATCTTTTATAACATTTTGAAAAATTAATGATAGTAATGACTATCAAGTCATTTCAAGTTCCAGCTTGAAATCCCTCTCTATTCACTTCTGTGTCTGGATAAAAAAAAAACATCCACTTATGACAACTTTCATGTGAAAACAAAAAGGATGTAAACAGTTTACACTATCATACTTTAAAGCTATCATATTTTCACATTTAAAAAAGTACATATAATCTGACATATGATCTAATAACTGGAGAGAATTTGAGAGCTCCTCAAAGCCAAGAGCAAGTTTGCTAGGTTTTCTCATTTTTCATTCTATTTTGAGTCCCTGGGTGATTTCATTCACATGCAAGGCTTCACTTCAGTTACCAACTACAGACAGCTGCTTACCTGTTCCCTCCTCACAGATGGCTCAAAAATATTTCGAATGCAGTATGTTAGCCCTAGGCTCATGCATCTCTTCCCTTCCCCATTCTGATCTGGTCTCAGTCAAAATCCCAAACTTGATATAGTACAAAATCTACATTTCACATTCAGTTAGGGAGGGACTTGTTTAGACAAGAAGTTTATAGTGGGGAAGGGAATGAGATCAGATATCTGTGTAATTTTTAGGCTTCCTCTCTAAAAGAACTTCACACCCCAAGTTTGCCAGCCACTTGCTAATTCTTCCAGGATAGGAACAAAAGGAAAGAATAGCAGAGGAATAAAAAACTTCTTTGTGAAATGGCACTATCAGAGCTCTCTGGACCGGACAAATGCTTAAAGACAACACATTTATCTTGGGGGTAGGGAGTGGCTTTCATGTGCTCTCTCCTACAGTTCCCTTGATCCAGGTAGAAAGACCTCTATTTGCGTAGTGACCTGTGACCCCTCCATGGCCTCTAGGCTTGGGGTAAGAAGATAGCACATACTTCCTCATCCCACTCAAGAAGGATGAAACATGTTCTCAGTCTTTTCCTTTGAATATCTGCATGTGATAGTTGGCACCCCATTTCTGGATTTCACATCTACGAGTATATTTCAGTGGCTTCTCTAAATAATTTTAACAACCTATTACTGAGGTATGGCTTATAAAAGAAAGGGAATATTACATGAAAGAACTATGAAGAGGTACTCTGTAATTAAAACCAAATTTCTGTAAAAACCAGACTATCTTATTAGATTTTAGTTTTAAACTTAAAGAAACAAAACACTCTCCAGGCGATAATGAACTGGAATGTACAATACAAACCAAGCCTATAAAAAGTTTGACCTTGATTTTTTTTCACTAGCATATTATTGTTATCATCATCATCATTACTTAAAAGCTCAGACAGTACAGAAAAATTCCACAGTTTCCAATTCTGAAACTAGAACAGAGAGGAGGGTATGTCAAACCAAAGAATACAGGGTCAACTCTCACAGGGATTAATATCCCACCTACTGAATACTTAAAAAGAGAGGTCAAAATCACATTCGGTAACATCAGATATAGGAGGCTTGCTTATTGTGACAGAAAGTAGAGAACAGAGGTGGGGGTGGGGGGTGACTTAGGAATATAAATACAGTAATGTAAATGTACAGCAAAATGATAATTCGACAGCAATAATTCTTAAATTATAAGCTTAAAAAATATCCAAATCAGTCAGAAATGAGAATTCATCTTTCTGTGGAAATAAGAAACACAGTGGTAGATTAAATACCAAACCAAAATTTTGTAGGTTTATTTTAAAACAACAACTGAAGAAGACTACTGCATTACTGTATCAGTCGTATCAAGGCACCTAAAATGTACTTGTTTCAACCTCAGATGACCAGAACATCTCTCTTCTCCGTGAGCAAGAACCTCCTGGGTAAGGAGAACAAGTTCTCTACCAGTTCGATTCAATAGTAGAGGTTCTCATGACCTATGAAAATCATCTGACACATAATTACTTGAAGAACTATGTAGAATTCTAGCCACTAGTGTCAAGGAACTAAATCAAGATGATTTAAGAGACAGATTTCTTTTTAATTTGTAATTTTCCATGAAAATTGAATTCCACTTTTAAAAAGAAAAATTTCTTAAAAGTCAATGAAATAAATGATTGAGTGTTTAACACTTTAATTTTAATAACATACTTGTAATCAAATTTTAAATCTAAAATTCAGACAAAATTATCCTAAAAAAAGAGCTCAGAGGGGCCGTCCCGGTGGCGCACTGCTATAGTGTGTCGCTTGGGAAGCGTGGCGGCGCTCCCGCCGAGGGTTCGGATCCCACATACAGACCGGTTCCCGCTCACTGGCTGAGCGAGGCACGGGAGCAACACCGAGGGTTGCGATCCCGTTGCTGGTCCCAGTCCGGTACGGGGGCGACACTGAGGGTTGCGATCCGTTGCCGGACACGGAAAAAGACAAAAAGGAAAAAAAAAAAAAAAAGAGCTCAGAGAGTAGTGAACACATAAAAAATATATACATGCATGTTCATAGCAGAATTATCTGCAATAACCAATGGTGGAAACAACCCAAATGCCCCTCAATGGATGATGAATGGATAAATAAAATGTGGTTTATTCATATAATGATATTTTTTCAGCTATAAAAAGGAATGAAGTCTGATATATGCTACAACATGGATGAACTTTAAAAATATTATTCTAAGTGGAAGCTGTCAGTCACAAAGGCCACACATAGTATGATTCCATTTAAATGAAACGTCCAGAATAAGGACATAAAGTCGATTGGGGTAGGGGTTGCCAAGGGACTGGGAAAGGGAGGAATGGGAAATGACTGCTTAATTGCTATGAGA